ACATCTTTTGAGTTGTTCTCCACATGATTTGGGCATGCTTCCAATTGGGCTAGGACGCCAAGGGTGATTATCAGGTCCACAACGATGTCATAGTACCCAACAAAAACATCAACAATATGTCCTAATGTTTTGGAGATCTTGCCAATGTGATATTAAGGTGAGATCAGATCCATTTGAAAGCTTATCAAATAAGTTTTAGATCAAGTACTCATGGTCCTCAATCGCACTCCCGATAGAAGAGTTATGTCCTTCACGATAAAGTATTGTCAGACTACCGATGAACCGAATGTTGAGCTTCGATGGTCTTACACTCAAGGTCGATCTGATGCATGATGTATCCACACCCTATCTGTTATAGAGACCATAGAAAGTGTCTTCCCCATGTTTGCATCATCATCACAATTATTTCTAAGCACATTGGATGTAATGATATTAAGTACCAACAAATTCTTATATCTTACGTAAACATAGGAACGAGCACCTTGTAATCAATGGTTGTATCCTTAGGTATAACTCCCTCTGGTCCACTTTATCTGTTGGTGTTTCAAACAAACACCAACTAGTAAATTTATATTTGTTGCACGCTAGGCTCGGATGGTGTACTAAAGGACACAAGGTTTATACTAGTTCGGGCAGAATGTCCCTATGTCCAGTTTGCTGCTATTCGTGTTATTAGTACTAAAAAAGGTTCGTAGTAGGGGGTACAAACGGTCGAGAGAGGGAGAGGTCCCAAGTCTCTGATGGAAAGGTCGAAAGGATGTCAAGAGCTCGGTTGCTGCTTGGCTGTGTGCTGTATGTGGAATCGATCCGTCTCTTTAGTGGGGTGTCCTACCCTCTCTTTTATAGACCAAGGGGAGCAGGGATTACAGATGAGAGAAAGATGAAAAACCAGAGGGTAGAGAAGGTCCTTCGAAGGAGCCGGGTCTTCCTTTCCCCCTATGCCTGCCCTGCTGACAAGGCAGACCGTGTTAGGGATGGTGTGTTCGCCGATCTTCATAGGGCCGTGCCCTGGCCTTATTCAGCAAGTGGGTACGTCCCATCCTACACCGGCGGATGGTGCGGCATGCCAGGGAGCCGAGCTGTGACCCTACAGGGAGTAGACGGAGAAGTGACCATACGTCCGTCACTGTAGATGATGCGAGCTCTCTCTTGGATTGTAGTGGTTATCGTATGCTTGTGTCAGGATCCACGTTCGAGGGCTGATGGCGGCGCCCACAACACTGTAAGACTAAAGTCAACGCCTACAACACTGTTCGGGCTCTGCCATGCCAAGAAGGGCTTAACGCGCCCGTCCTATCGTATCCTGATGGTATTTTTCTGCAGGCGTGCAGGGTATGGTCCTCGGTACTGCGGTTGACTCGAATGTCCTATCTTACCTCGTGCTCATCATCGTGAAGGAGTAGGGCACAGTCGTCGAGCGAGGCAGAGTCAGCCCTCAGTCGTCGGGCGAGACGGAGCCTGCCCCCAACCATCGGGCGAGGCGGAGCCAGCCCTCAGCCATCGAGCGAGGCAAAGCCTGCCCTCGGATGTTAGGCGAGGCGGAGCTAGCCCTCAGCCGTCGGGCGAGGCGGAGCCAGCCCTCGGATGTCGAGCGAGGCGGAGCCTGCCCTCGGTCGTCGGGCGAGGCAAAGCCAGCCCTCAGTCGTCGGGCGAGGCGGAGTCTAGCCCTCGGGGGTCGGGCGAGGTGGAACCAATCTTTCGTCGTTCGGGCAAGAAGTGTAGTAGCGTTCTTATCTGTCCGAAAGCGTCAACGTTCGATGGTTATTAGCTCCACCTCATTGGGTACCTAGGTATTAGGTCCCCGACATTATCTGGGGCAAGTTAGAATGACATAGTCTCCTAGATTACACTTTGACCATTCATTTGCTTTATATTATATTATTTATGGTTGTAAATTTATAATCATTGGATAGTATAATTCATTACAAATCTAATCATATAAAGTTTGTATTATAATAGTTAAAAATTATTAGCCTAATTATTGGTCAAAGTTTTTAAAGTTTGAATCTTGATATGCATGTGCGACAGATAAAATGGACCAAGGTAGTATTTCTTTATCATCCTCATCTTCTTGACAACAAACCGTCCTCAGTTTGACCTTAGATGGAGGACATGTTTGAGATAGCAGCCAACAATGCTCCCCTTCATGTGACTTATCCTGTTTCTTTAAAACAAAGGAGAACTCAACATGACATGATTATAGCTATTGCATCCCTCTAATTGATCATATTTTTGCACAATAAAAGGAGATATCAAATTTGAATAAATGTATACACAATGCACCATATACGCTCCTTTACAATTATATTTGCCAAGAAAGTGATATGGACATCTAGACAACCATAGAAATTCAGCGCATACAAATTTCTTCTTCAAATACTTAGAGCACATAGAGTATCCAATTTGATATAACTCAATATATTTAAAGAAGACAATAATTTTAGTTTATCTTTTTTTATAGCAATGGGAAGCAATTTTATTTTTAGCACAAGTATTTGGTTGCAAGGTAAAAGAATCATTCTCATTCACTAACAAATAAAATAATCTAGCGTGTGGGTCCCACAGTTGTCTTGTACGGTGTGTTAAAGAGAAACCGTTGAAGTAGTTTGTTACTAGGTCTGAGTTGGCATTGACACCCCATCCATATAAAAAGCAAATAAAGTTAGCTATTGCGAGTGACCTCAATAGATGCTGGTACAATGTTATGGGAAGCAAAACCAGGGGTGATCTCGACCACTTCTTTTGGTCTTTTTCTATAGCATGGTCCGACATTTCCAACACTCTATTACGATGGTGAAGGATTCTAAACTTGTGTTCTTTGGAGCGTTCCTCCAAGTCATGTTCTTTTAGTGGGTTCTAGATCTCATTGTCAGCGACATTTGGTTGCGTTCTTTGGAGGGTGCCTCTAATTAGCGTTCTTTTAGTGGGTTCTAGATCTTGTTGTTAGCGACGAGTGGTTTTTGCATTCTTCAAAGCTTTACTTTGGTGTGCAATCTTAAAGCTCCAATAGAGTGGATAACCAAAGGAAGAAGATAACTATTTTGGTTTTTGATGTACTCTTATTTTTAGAAGTCGTTTTGTGTCTTGTTGTTCACCTTTCGTACTAGCCGTTGTTTTTCTTGAGATATGCATATTAGATATGAAACACTCTTTTAAGTGTCTATCAAAAAGGAAGAAGTCCCATTACCTCCCTCAACTATCATGATTATCCGATTTTGCTCTCGTAACTACAAAACAAGTTTTTTTTACCACACTCAACTTTTTAAATCGTTTGTTTTTGCACCTTGGATGGTTTTGCTGATGAAGCGCCGCATCAGAGGAGGGGGGGGTTTAAAGTGGTCTGAGTTGAAATTTCAGGCAAGTAAATCGGTATATGTATCAAAATGTCCTTAAAAATAAATTTTCAAAATTTATCTAAATATTTTTACATGAAAAATAATGCAATTAAAATTCATAAAATCTTTTAATCTTATAAAATTCGTAGAAAAACTGTTTTACCTCATAAAATTATGAAACTAGTTTAAGACTTTTCTAAAATCATGCTCTATCTTATGGTGCAAATATATAAATTGAAGGGCACATGCATACATGCATATGTGTGGCATGGTGCATGTAACCCCTCAGGTTAACACAATTACTTTGAAAATTTATTCACAGCAGGGACCAAGCCCAATACTGTCCTGACCATGTTTCACTAGTGCTTCTACATAGTCGGATGATCAATATAGACTAATTAACAAGAGCATCTTCTAGCAAATAAAAACTAAATTGTGTCCATAAAGGTCCAACAATTTCAAGCTGTGGACCACAAGATATGGCATTATTTTAGAAAAAAAATCTAAAACTAGCTTCGTTTTTTGAGGTAGAACAGATCTTTTATAATTTTTCTAAGTTTAAACCATATTTTAGGATTTTTAATTGTATTCTTATTCTATGTAAAAATATTTGGATAATTTTTTGAAATTTTACTTTTATAATTTTTAGATATTTTTTGAAAAAATTCTTGTCCAATTTATCTCCCTAAACTTTTAGCTTAGTCCGATTTACCTCTGATGTGATGCCACGTCAGCAACATCACCATGAAAACTACCTAAAGTGCAAAAAAAATGATTTTAGAAGTTGATGGTGATCATAATAATTGGTTTTGTGGTGGAGGGAGCAAAATCGAAGTAGTTGAGGGAGAGAAACTGGACCTTTTCTTTGAAAAAAGAAGAAGCCAGTGGCTTCCTTCCGCTCGTGGATTGGGCCGGATCCAAGGGGGCTGTCTATCCACGTCAAAAAGGCCTTGGCTTACGGAGAGCACAAACAACAAGCGGTACTAATCGAGTGCAGCTGCAATGCTTTGGGGTCAGGAATAAAAACGGATCGGATATATTTCTGGTTGGATTTAGATTAAATATGGATAGTGTCAGCTATACTAGATAGGTATGATTGAATGTTGATATCATAAATATATAATTTAAATATTTCAATACGAATATAGTATCAGATATTAAATATTCAAACTCAGATACGGATAGACTCCGCTAAACGAATTCGCGGTCGGAAAATATCCGTTTCATGCCTACACCTGCTATACACATCCACGTGAGTAGCCGGCACACACCCCCAACCCCACACTGTGTCCGTGTCCTCGTTGCTTCTGGAACACCACCGCGCCAAAGCAAAGGAATAAGGAAACGAAGGAGAATGGCCACGCGGCCACTCACCTCCGCCCTTCCGCTCTCCAAAACCCCGCGCGGCCCCTCCTCGCAGACGCACCATTCCCCTCTCTTCCTCCGCCGCCTCCAAACCCTAACCCGCGCGCTCGCCTCCTCGTCCCCACAGGCCATGGCGTCGTCCCCGGCCCCCAAGAAGGCAAGTACTCCGTCTTCGACCTGCAGCAGCTCTCAGCTCCTCGCCCCGCTGCGCTGCGTCCTAATTGGTGGCGGGGAACGAACGGTTGATTGGTTTGGTTGCTCCCGCAGGTGCTGGTCCCGATCGCGAATGGGACGGAGCCGATGGAGGCGGTCATCACCATCGACGTGCTCCGGCGCGCGGGGGCCGATGTCGCCGTCGCCTCCGTCGAGCCGGGGGCCGCGACCGTCGCCGCCTCGTGGGGCGTCAAGCTCGCCGCCGACGCGCTCCTCGCCGACCTTGCTGACGACGAGTTCGACCTCATCTCTCTCCCGGTGAGTCACCTTTTTGCTTTCCCTGCAGTAGTTGGAGCTACCCTAAGTTATGTTCTTTGCAAAATGGAACCGAATCGGGATCAGTTGTGCTGGGTTGGGACGGGGTCACGTGTCACTTTTTTTTGTGTGTAGTAGAATGATGGAATCAACTCCCTTCTTATTCGATATGAGGAAACTGAATCGAGTTGGTAATGATTAGTTCAGAGTCCAGACCATGTGTGTATGTGCAGAACAACAAAGTTGAAAAGATGAGGGTAAAATCACAATTGGGCTTGAAAACAGGGGCAAGAACACAAGAGCCCCATTTCTAAAAGTTAGAGAAGTTCAACTTAGGACAAAACTAAAGTGAACTAATAATTTGGAATGGAGGGAGTAGGTTAGTTTTGCTCCCACTAAAATAAACAGCCCGAGAATGCCTTTATCTTTTTGGCGACATGTAATGATCATATTCATGTATCTGTTGATAAAGATGTGGCAATGTGGCTAGTTCACAAGGCTCAACTTGAGGAGTAATGTCAAAGTCATGAAACAGGCCTCCTAGGATGGAATTGTGTCCAGGATGAACTGCTGCTTCTGACTGTAAATGATGAGTCTAATCTGTTAAATATCATAATCTGATAAGCATGATAAACAGATAAATATCGTTACCTCCTTTTCTTTTGATATGGTGTTCCCAGAACCCAAGATTCAAACTTGTTAATCTTTGAGTAATGCTTAATTGAAGAATTTGTACGTTATACCATACTAATTTGATATCATTGGATTCATATTTGAAAAAGCTTTCATATGATGTCAAACTCATAGTCAAAAACATTATTATATATGAGATACTAATGGTCAAAGCGTGATGTCGGAGATCGTACTGGGTCAAAGCATGCCTTATGAAAAGAAAAGGGGGAGCATACTCATTTGAAGAGGGTAGTGAGACATATGCTATGCAAAGTTACAATATAAAAAATGAGTACCTATTCATTGTCATATACTCACATGTCACATCTTCCTTTCCTGCAGGGGTTGATCAATTTTACCTAAGATTTATATAAAACTACTATGATCCATTTGTGATCTGATGTTTAATAATCGGTAGAACAATGTATATGGCTTTAACCAGATTCTTGTCCTGTCTCATGTCTCTTTTCACTCTTTGTGTGTGAGATCTATGGTGGTACATGTATTCTTTGCCACTTGGCATCATCCTTGGCATTTGTATATCATAGGTCTCTTTCTTCATGTTAAGCTGTTGAAATTCGTGAACCCTTCTCCATTTAAGTACTTGCTTGCATGTGTGTATATGTAGAACAACAAAGTTGGAAAAATGAGGGTAAAATCACAATTGGGCTTGAAAACAGCGGTAAGAACACAAGAGCCCCTTTTCTAAGAGCTTCATAAAAGTTAGTGAAGTTCAACTTAGGACAAAACTAAAGTGAACTATAATTTGGAATGGAGGGAGTAGGTCAGTTTTGCTTGCCATTGAAATAGACAGCGTGAGAATACCTTTATCTTTTTGGCCACATGTAATGATCATATATCTGTGGATAAAGATGTGGCAATGCAGCTAGTTCACAAGGCTCAACTTGAGGAGAAATGTCAAAGTCACGAAACAGGCCTCCTAGGATGGAATTGTTTCCAGGATGAGCTGCTGCTTCTGATTGTAAATGATGAATATAATCTGTTATATATCATAATCTAATAAGCATGATAAACAGACAAAAATCGTTACCTCCTTTTCTTTTGGTATGGTGTTCCCACAACCCAAGATTCAAACTTGTTAATCTTTGACTAACACTTAATTTCAAGATTTTGTACATTATACCATACTAATTTGATATCATTGGATTCATAATTGAAAAACCTTTCACATGATGTGAAATTCATAGCATAAACATTATGTATGAGATACTAATGGTCAAAGTGTGATGTCAGAGATCATACTATGTCAAAGCATGACTTATGAAAAGAAAAAGGAGGGACCATACTCATTTGAAGAAGGTAGTGAGACATATACTATGCAAAGTTGCATTGTAAAAATGAGTATCTATTCATTGTCACATACTCACATCTTCCTTTCCTTCAGGAGTTGATCAATTTTACCTAAGATTTATATAAAAGTAACTATGATCCATTTCTGATCTGACGTCTAATCATCGGTAGAACAATGTATATATGGCTTTAACCAGATTCTCGTCCTGTCTCATGTCGCTTTTCGCTCTTTGTGTGTGAGATCTTTGGTTGTACATGTATTCTTTGCCACCTGGCATCATCCTTGGCATTTATATAGCATAGGTCTCTTTCTTCATGCTATTAAAGCTGTTGAAATTCGTGGACCCTTCTCCATTTAAGTACTTGCTTTCACCTGGGGTATTTGGATATGAATCTATAAGACGAACTCCAAGAAATTCCTAGAGCTTTCTCGTCCAAACACTATAATCTAATTTTTGAGCGATTTGGTCTATATTATTCAGGGAGGGATGCCTGGGTCTTCCACTTTTAGAGACTGCAAAGTTTTGGAGAATATGGTCAAAAAACATGTAGAGAAGGGCAAGCTTTATGCTGCAATTTGTGCTGCACCAGCGATGGCTCTAGGAACTTGGGGTTTGCTCAATGGCTTAAAGGTAGTTTGTTTACCAATTTTTCATTACCCTGATATATAGAATCAACACCTTTTATTTGGTAGAGATTATTCTAACTTTTTTAACAGGCAACATGTTATCCTTCGTTCATGGATAAACTTCCTTCAGAAGTGCATGCTGTGGAATCAAGAGTGCAGATTGATGGGAAGTGTGTGACCAGTCGTGGACCAGGAACAGCCATGGAGTATTCTGTTATTTTGGTTGAGCAACTATATGGAAAGGAAAAGGCTACAGAAGTTGCTGGGCCAATGGTAGGACTTGCTTTCAAGTTTCAACATTATTTATATATTTTCATGCATTTATCTTCTTGCTAAACACTGCAGAAATTTTATGTTGCTGAAAAATTCACAATTTGATACTATGATATGTTGTTTCCTTATAAAAACATCAAACACAGAGTTGGGGCGTCATCTGCACCATATTGTTTAATTATCTACACTTTACTGCTAAATGGGTAGAAAGAAGATTCATCTTATTTTGTATAGATGAATATCCAATGTGGATCTTCTATCATGGATTATTTAACATCATGGATTATTGTTTGCTAAACCCGGTAAACTCATCTGGAGGGCTGTTGCCTTTTAGAGAGAACTTACCTCACCTTAGAAGCTTTCCAGTCCACATCCTAGCTGAAACTGGTTGCTAGTTACTAGTTAGGCTAATCAGATTATATGGTTTTGTTTTGTTTATTATAGAATAACCCAAGTTGTTTGGACTAAAAAGGCTGTTGTTGTTGTTTTCTTATGACATTCCTGCGTTTAATTCCTGTTTCCAACATATTAGTTTTGAAGCAGTAGCCGTTTTTGTTCACATTTGCAACATCTCTGGCCTTTCTTTGTTCTTTTTTACTATTGTTGATTTATTTTTGACAGCTGTTGTTTCTATTCAACCAAGTGAATATTACCTTTCAGGTTATGCGTCCTCAGCATGGTGCAGAATTCTCTATGAAGGAGCTGAATTCAACTAGTTGGAATGTTGGTGAGATGCCTAATGTAAGCATTTTCAGTGATGACCTGTTTCTTTGATTTAGCATTCACTTGCTTTTGTTTCACCACTTTCATGCCATGTGCAATTATGTGATCCTGGTGAAATGAAATCTTTAGTAGTCTCGTATGTTCTTTCTTTGTAGAGTTATGTTCCCCTTCTACACGTTCTTGGCCAAGATTTAAAAGTATTTTTTTTGGAGGACTTGTCATGTGGCACAACCATACAATGCTGCAAAGTATGACTGGCAGTTTCTAAATCACCTAGTATGCTAGTGTGGTACTCCCTTTTGTGGGGTGTATCAGGATTTGAATAGGTCAAACTTTGTTAGTTTTGACCCTATGTTAGTCAAAATGTCAAATTACTCCATGCATGCTTAGTGTATAAAAATTATTCCCTTCGGTCTGTAGAAGTTCTCATTTCTGAACAAAAATGGATTGCAACTAGTACATATGCTCTGTTCAAAATTTCAGGTTCTCCTAACCAGAGTATACAAATTAATCAATACATTTATATTTCACAAATATTTTAATATGATATTGATTTTTTAACAGTTCAAACTCCATAGTATATTCTAAGAGGTTAATGGTTAAAATGTACTTTTGAAGACTTCTCCAATCCTAATACACCTTAAATAAAGAAAAGGAGGGAGTATGTGTTTGGCTGGGGCTCGAGGGGTCTCTCATCTCCTCGCCCTTGCGCCAAGTAATTTTTAATTGTTGGCTGTGGTCGTTTTTTAGTTTTAAATTTGTAGGCGAGCATGTAGTTTTTTTCGTTGGTGTGTGTCTGGTTCTTTGATGTATGGGTTAAAAACCTTTTTCTTCTTCTTAATATAATGATACGCAGCTCTCCTGCGTTTTCGTGAAAAAGACAAGTTTTCAGTTACAAGATTAGGATGATGTAGCATAAATGCAACTGTGCATAAGATTGATTGTGTGTTTAGAAGCTTAATCACTAGGTTTGATTTATGTAAAATGAATAAACATGAATTGATTAGTAACTTATATGTCTTTAGAGTAAATATCTTTCATTAATGATGAAATCCTTTCTGCGATGTGTTATGGGGAGAGGGAAGTACAGGTGTTTAGAGGAGTGGAGTACCCAGTGACCAGATGTTATATTTATATTTGAAGATTAGATCACAGTAGCAACATCGGCAATAGGTGTTGTATATTATTACCATCCATTCACTAGAGTTGTTGCATGCTTTTGATTTAGTTGTTTTCGGTCCTCTACAAGTTAAATGTTATATTTTATTTATACTTCGTGCTCTCTATAGATCAGGTAAAGATCATTCATTGTTATCTACAGGTGGTTATTTTTACTCGAGCCATTATTATTTATCTGTCTGCTCAAATGAACACATGTAGGTTTTATGTTAAGTGGAAAGTCATCTTTTGATGGCATTGCAAACTGTGATGACCATGCAGAATGTTTTTGGCAATCTTTTTTTTTCCTTTTTGTGCTCTCTATACAATCATAAACTCCTTCATTCCTTGTGTTGTTGACCTTTTGCTGTCTTTGAAATGCAACTTTGGCCATTTGTTTTTTTACATTATATTTGTGGAAGACAAGAATCAATGTTTACAAAAACCATGTTCTATGTTGTGTTATGAATCTATTTGTGTCACAAATCTAAATGTAAATAAACAAAATAGGTAAAAAATTCTAGAACTTCGATCACACTTGCCACAGTTATATAATTTTTTTGATTAGATCTAGGAGTCCGTAGTCTCTCAGCAGAAGATGCATAGCATACACTCTACCTTGGTATTTGTTGTTGCTTGTCTGCTTGCTACTTTGCCACTGCATTGGAATCTGAGTTCAAATACATAGCACTGTATCTCACAGTTTAGGCTATTGATGACTGCCTGCACAGATTCTTGTACCAATTGCTAATGGGACAGAGGAGATGGAAGCAACTATGATAATTGACATTTTGCGAAGGGCGAAAGCAAATGTTGTGGTTGCCTCCTTGGAAGACAAGCTGGAGATTGTTGCATCCCGGAAGGTGAAGATGATTGCTGATGTGCTGTTGGATGATGCTCTTAAGGAGCAATATGATCTCATTCTGTTACCTGTAAGTCTGATGAATCATTTTTCCATAATCTAGTAACTTACAAGTTACAACTCTCAGATCTTATACCTTCCAATAATTTTTGATAGGGAGGTCTAGGTGGTGCGGAAGCATATGCAAAATCTGATAAACTAATGGATCTTATCAAGAAGCAAGCTGAAGCAAATAGATTGTACGGAGCTATATGTGCCTCCCCTGCGATTGCTCTTGAACCACATGGCCTGCTAAAGGTGTAATTTGAGATCAATAATAAATCATACTAGTGGAGAGAGCATGCATAAATGTTCTTGGGCCCTAACATTTCCTGTTCTTTTACTTCAGGGAAAGAAAGGTACATCCTATCCTGCTATGTGGAACAAACTTGCAGACCAAAGCGAATGCAACAACAGAGTTGTTGTTGATGGTAACCTAATCACCAGCCAAGGTCCTGGGACTTCTATGGAATTCTCGCTTGCCGTAGTGGAGAAACTCTTTGGACGGGAGAGAGCCCTTGAGCTCGCCAAAGCCATGGTTTTTGTATGAGTTCAAATGGTATGTGTTAGGTTCCTGGAGTATGTACTTTTTTTGTGAATATGAGGCATGCTATGTTCTTTTCTTGTGGAATGTACTCAGAATCCCCTTTTAAATAGAAATAAGAAGAATACTTGTAATGTGTTTCATATGCAATAAAAGGTTTGTGGCGAACATTAAGCGAAGACTGAGTCCTGATTTGAAAACACCTCACATTCTAAAAATCTTTTTGCTCTTGGGTCTGTTTGCTTGTTTGAAGGCAGGCTATATTGAGATGGGTGTATCAGTTAGGTTCAGTTAGGTGACGAGCATAATATTCTGATATATCAGGATGCTATGCCCGTCACCAAATCTTTTTATAGAGATAATAAGGACTTTATAATCTCATAGTTTTAAACAGATTACGATAAGATGCAATAGCTGCCTCATTTTTTTTTTCACTTATTTACATCACTGGGCCACTGGCCTCTCATTTCGACCAATCACCCTGGGGATCAGGGGAGAATGATCAGCTAAATGAAGCTAAAAATAAATGAATGAACCAATTGATATGTACAGATAAAATTCGCATTAATTAGAAAAGGCCTAGACCACGGCTTGTCAAGGCAAAGAGAATAAAGCCACCCCTCAGCTCATCAGGAGACGCCAGTTCTCGCAAGCAACGCAGGCCACCCTTTTTCTCCATGCATCGCCGTCTCCTCTTCGCATAAATCTCAGAACAAACTAGTTTTCTCGTTCGTTCTCCTCTGCAGGTAACCAAGGAATAAAGTCGATCTGGTGTGCTAGAAAATGGCCTCGCATTTACACGCTGTTTCTGTCCTCAAGATAGTGCCTTCCACATCGCCTCTCCTAGCTTTTCCCCTGAGCAACGGCAAAAGTTGCAGTTCAGTATTGTATGCAGTGAAAATGTGCAAAGCAGCTAGCCAGGTTGTTTTTGGATCGGATGTCCTATGGTGTGATGTTACTACATAGATAGCACACCTTTCCTTTGTGATGAATATACATGTTTTTGGGTGCCCCATGGGTAGGCATGTGAAAAGGGGCAAGAAAAGAGGCCTTTATTGCTTCATGGTTATGGATGGATGGTTGGGCCTTTGTTGATATAAAGCTACAGACTGGGCGATGCAAGGATGTTGTGCCTTCCACATCGCCTCTCCTTTGTTGATATAAAGGAGGCTGGGCGATGCAAGGATGTGTCATGCAAGGTCATAGGAACATGCATGGCAGGAGAGAGCCATACCATACCTTGGAATGGTGCATCTCCCCTTTGGTCTTGGAGGCTTTTGGTCCACAAAAGCCAGGCCATTTTGCTGGCCTTGCAGTCGCCGCCTGCCATTGGGTGCGCTTTTGCGATCAGAGGAGCAAAGCTTGGGTGATAAGCAGCATGGCAAGAGATACGGCAACACATAGGCCGCCAAAGTCCTTCCTAACATCCTGCGCCAAAAAATGATGCATATATTAGCTCAACTAAAGAAAAGAGGACAGGAAAATACATGCATAATTCTAAAACACACAGATGAGAACCGACCTGGTTCTAACAAAAGATAAAAAAAAATACTATATGAAGTATATATTTTCTTTAAACTGAGATTAGAGCGAAAAATCCCTCAATTTCCATAATCTAACGACTCTGCTTTGCCAAATAAAACTAATGAATGCCGAAGAATAATTCCCCAAATCTTTAGCGAAAAAAATATTCACCACTATACTTTCGGTGATTTCCTACATTTGATTACCAGCCATAATTTTGCTCCACTACACAGCATGTCTTTCGCAGGAAGAATCTCAACGTGACACCTAACGCCGATTGCTCAATCATGAAAGTTTGCCCCTCAAGACACTAATCCACGCTAAAAGTGCACACTACATACGGACTTATTCTTGTGTGAGCAAATGCGCAAGGAATATCTAGAAATCTTTGCTAGTAGTAGCTACCTTCTCAATGATCACATTTTTAAAATAGAATATATATATATGCAGCGTCACAATGCAAATCTGACTCGTACGTGCAAGCTAGCACCACATTTCAACACCCTAACGAGAGAGTTCCAGCTTCCAAGAAGATACGGTGTGAACTCGACGACGACCATGCATGTGTAAAAGGCTATTTTTTTCCCCTGTCCTTGGATATGCTATCTTTGTAGGCTGTGCTTCTTTTGTGGCCTTTTCTGTGAATGGTGCAATCTGTTTCATAATCCTTTTGCAGGTCTATATATCTAGCAATAGCATGCGTGCACTTTGAGTGAAGACGAGGGTAAGGAATGACTGTGCAGTCAGGTCAATGAAAAACTGCTGCCTAAGACACTATCTGTCTAGGCTGCATGCATGCCTGCCCTGTTTCTTAATTTCTTGGTTGCAAAGTTTGTTACATCTTGGATGCGTATATATATAGTATAGAAAGTATATATAAATTGATGGATCGAATCGATAAAGTGGTGTGTTTATGTCGTGATGATAGGGACTGCAAGTGATATGCACCGTACCGTGCATGCATGTTCATGGACCACTACTTGGATTGTATCTATTGCACTGGGGCTAGGTCTCTGTGATGTTGCAGAAAACAATTCCAGCTTGGACCAACGGTGCACCACGTGTAGTGCACCCAATGCAAGTGGTCTCTCCTGGCCCCTGGGTGACGTTTATTATTTTTCGGTGCAGGATTCGGATGTGCTAAATCTTTAAAGAAAACATCACTGTGATGAGTGATCTGGCTGAAAAGGAAGTGATAAAGAAAGCTTGCTTTCATGCAAACATTGACCACTCGCTCACCGCTGCGACGATGCTTATTAAAAGGCATGCAAATAACTAGGTTAAGGTACTCTCATGCATATACAGTGGTCAAAATCTAATTCATTCTTGCGTCTTTGCAATCTCGAATATTTCTATACAATTCTCATTTCTTTTGAAGTTCTTGTCGGTAGAATGTACATTTTTATGACGACTTTTATGTTGAAGATCCTATATATAGGGTTGCTTGTGATCTTACTTGAAGACCTCTGATCTCTATATAAAGAAGCTAGGAAGCACTCACCGTGGTCCTGGCAGCCGGTGACGTGGCAAGGGAGAGCGATGCGGCGGAGGTGGTGGAGAGCTGGGAGAGGCCGACGTTGTAAACCATGCTCATGTCCGGCTGGTACAGGCCGTAGTTCCTCTCGGAGGTTGGCCCCGGCTTCATGTCCTCGTTGAAGAGCGCGAAGAGGTAGACCTCGAGCCGGAGCCTGGGCCGCAGCGGCGTGCCCTCGCCGCTCACCTGCCGCATCAGCAGGTTCCGGTTGTACTGCCGGGCGTTCTCCACCGTGGCGCCGGCCTCGTTGGCGTCGCCCTTGGACGGCCACCCCGTCTCCGACACGTGCACGGCCACGTTGCCGTAGCCCAGCCGCGCCGCCGCGAAGGACACCGCGTCCACCTGCGCGTACATCATGCTCGTGTACTGCAGCTTCGTGAACGGGTCCACGGCGCCCACGTGCGACGGGTTCGATAGCGCGTAGTCAAGGGACACCCTGCTGGTTCATCAGTGCATGCATGCAAAATGAATTTGCATTCAGCTAGTATAGTTCAGGTAAACTTATCCAGATCGAAAGTGATCGAAATTCAAAAAGATATGAAAGTGATCGCACGCACTTTGTTGGGTCATCCTTGTAGGCAAAGTAGGGGTAAGCATTGATCCAGAAGGGTGCGCTGGTCTCGGCGAGGAACCGGAGCAGCTGCGCCATGTAGGGCGCGGCGGCCTGCGTGAAGACGCCCTGCGACGGCGGGTAGGAGATGGCGAGCACGGCGAGGGAGTTGGCCGTGGACACGCGCACGTACGCGTCCATGCCCAGCTGCGCCAGCGCCGCGTGCAGGTTGCGCATGGCGGGGACCAGGCTGGTCTTGAGCTGCTCATCGTCGCCCGTGAACACCTCGTTGCCCACCGCGATCCCCGTCACGCGCGTCGCCAGGAAGTAGGGCCGCACGCTGGCGCTCACCCACTGCAGCGCCTGCGACGCGCTGGTCGCCATGCCGGGCACCAGGTCGTCGGGGACCGTCACGATCAGCTCGATGCCCGTGCCCGCGAACGCCGTCAGCACCTGCGGGTTCACATCGTAGATGCGCACCTTGCCGATGCGCAGCGAGGAGAGGAGTTGCACCACCTGAGGCGGCGACGGCAGGTTGTTCCCCACCTGCCCATAGTTGATGCCCAGCGCCGTGGCGTGCCGCACCAAGCTCACCTCTGCAAGGAATATGCAGAGGAGGGCACAGGTGACAAGCCTTGTTGGTTTCAGAGACAATGCAAATGCCATTGTTGTGAGATGGATGAAGGTGGGTAGGTGTGATGGAGTGAGAAGAGGAGGGAAGGGGGAGGGAGGATGGTAGGAGGATGCTGAGTATTTATAGGCACGGCAGGTGCAGGTGCAGTCGTGCAGAGGAAGGGTTAATGAAACTCAGCTAGGTAAGGTAGGTGAGGGCTTGCATTGGGTTAAGCTAATTGGCCAATAATTCTTTTCTTTACTTGGGTGAAGGCGTTGCCATGCCAGGAGATGAGGTGAACTGAGCAAGCCGAGGATGGAGGACAGAGACGGAGGCAGGCAGAGGCTTTTGTGTTGGGTCGTCGGTTAACCTAGCTGCCTTGTCCCGTTCCGTTGCCGTGGCTTGGCAGGGCTTATATGTGGTAGCCCTATGGAGCAAGAAAATGTCTGATGCTCTAGTCTAGAGGAATAACAAGTTCACCGACGGGGACGTGTGTGTGAAAGCGGCTCCCTGGGATGCCAGGGCCGGAGCTATCATTTGCAGGAGGTTCTGTGGTGACTTCTCCTGAGGGAATCTTCAATAACTTATTCTTTTGCTTATATAAAAAAACCACCGAAAGAGAATGCCTGTTATGTACGGGAATTGTAATAGCAGGAGTTGTCTAGGAAGCAGCAACCCTGGAAAGTTTGTGCACAAAGCAACCGCAAAAGATTGGTACGTTACATTACACGCGCGCAAAATATTTACATGTGAAGCACAAGTTTATCTCATCTATTATTATCTTAGTATTTATCCAATAAACAAGACTCCAAATTAATTCATAATTAAGGTAATACCAATTACCATATTAATCGAAAAAATAAAATCAAACACTATCATAATTGCAGAGAGACACCTTAATTAATGAAACGGAGTTGAAATGTGTCTCTAATATTACATTACTCTTTACAACGGCTACTTAAGGTGTCTCTCTGCACAAGTTTCGCACGGTCAGTAGCAGAAAGCTGGGTTTCGCCCCCAATGGCTACTTTTTCTATGGGGCTTATAAATAGACCTCCAACCGGTCATTTGAGATGTGGAGAAGTGAGGAAACATACCAAGGGTGTTGATACACCACTTTAGTGATCTCACTTGTATAGTGCTTAGAGATACATTTGGTGATTAGCGTAGGTGCTTTGCGAAGTGCTTAGGTTAGTTAGACCACCGCTTATACGATTGCTCTAGGTTTAGGCCTAGTGTTTAGTGAGGTTTGCACACCTCTTATCACTCGGTGCTTGCGCGCACTATTATTGTACATCGGAGGGGCTTGTAGTGTTGCGAGATCACATCAACCGCGTTTGTGGTGTGGCCGCCACCGTGTATCGAAGGGAACAAGGCCCGTGACGGTTTGGCCGGAAGCTTGATAGTGAAGACGGCGGGGAGCATCCGGAAGAGGCTTGCTAGAAGGCACGTCGGAGACCCACTTGCGCGTGGGGAAGACCCGAGGCTATCCACGGAGTTACCCGACCGGGAGCTTGGCCCTTGAGAGGGATTTCTTGCGAGGGGCTCCAACGAGGACTAGGGGAAGCTTGTGCGCTTCTCGATACCTCGGTAAAAATACCGGAGTCATCGACGGGAGTTTGCATATCTCTACCTTACTCTTTAGCTTCCGTATTTACATTGCAATCTTGGTTTGTGCTTTACTTTCCTAGCTTAGTGATAGGCTAGTTGATAGGTTTGGAACCTAGGTTGTATAACTCCTTTTTGCGGTAGAGATAGCAACACACTAGCAAAACCATAGTTGCATATTGAGATAGTTTATCTTTTGTATAGTCTTTTGCTAAGAATAAAAAGAGGCCATAGTTTAGAGTTAGAGTTTTAAGTTGCCTAATTCATCCCCCTCTTAGACGTCATGGTCCCTTACAATTGGTATCATAGTCTGTTGGCTCAATTTGGACCTTTGGCTTCACCGCCGTTAAGCCGACGCTATTTAAAGTGGTTGGGATGGATACCTCTAGGCCTCCGCATTTTGGTGACACTAACTTCCCCTACTATAAAGCTAGAATGGCTTGTCACCTTGAGGCGGCCAATTTGGGTGTTTGGAGAGTCACTCGTGACGGGATGAAACCCACTAAGAATCTCGATAAACCCTCAAAGTGTGAAGAAAAAGAAATTCATTTCAATACTAGAGCTAAAAATTGCTTGTTTGAATCTTTTAGTATGGATGTGTTTAACCAAGTGTTCACTTTAAATATGGCACATAAAATTTGGTTAAAACTTCAAGAGCTCCATGATGGCACAACTAATGTCCATGAGCAAAAACATTGTCTAGCTAAACAAAATTATGATTCCTTTAAAATGAATGATGATGAGCTTGTTCATGATATATATTCTCGTTTGAATCTAATTATCAATGAGCTCCATTCAATAGGATTAACAAAGCTAGATGATATAGACATCGTGAGGAAGATCATGTCCGTACTATCATAAAAGAAATATGCAAGCATCATCACCATCCTTCACAACATAGAGGACTTGAGCACCATGACCCCGGCCATAGTCATTGGTCAGATAGTGGCATTTGAAATGTTACAGAAGATGGGTCAAGAAGAAGCCTCGTCATCAAGCAAAGGCAAAGCTCTCGCATGTAGTGAGAAAAAAAGATGAAGGGCAAGCAAGTTGAGACAAGCTCAAGCTCAAGCTCCTCAAGTGAAGAAGAAGAAGAAGATGAGGATGATGATGAAGAAGAATCAAGTGATGATGATCAATCTTCCTCCACCTCCGACCTTGATGAAGAATCAATCAAACTTATCAATAAGATAGAGAGGATGATCCAAAGGCTCAATGTCAAGGGTGTGCCCATCCAAATTCGAGATTTTATTTTCACAAATCAAAGAAATGAGCAAAGGAAGAAAGGATGCTATGGATGCGGTGAGTTGGGGCACTTTGTGAAAGTTTGTCCAAACAAGCCCACACCCAAGACAAAGAAGAAGGCATGCAAGGACAAAGCCCTCACATCAATAAGGTCATGGGATGATTCTTCAAGTAAAGAAGAAGACCATTACAAGAGACGAGGCCACAAGCACTCATCATCAAGCTCTTCTCGTGTGTGCCTTATGGCACGAGGTAACAAAAGCTCATCCTCTAGTGAGAGTGATAGTGATGATGAAATGCCTTCTCTTAATGAACTTGTGCAAGAAAATCTTAAATATGCTAAGGCTTGCACTAGCCAACAAAAGAAGCTAAAAATGTTACAAGAAAAGTTAGATAGTTCACAAGAAGCATATAAAACCTTGCTTGAACAATATGAGACATTTGCTAATCTCAACATTGAACTATCTACTAAAATTGAGCAACTTGAGGCTAGTGCAACAACAAATACATGCACAATCAATGATGAGCAACTTGTAAAGAAAAATGAAAAATTAAAAGAAAAGTTAGCTAGCTCACAAGATACTTATAAAAGTTTGCTTGCTAAAATGGAAACCATATGCAAACATTGTGATGAGCTAACTGATAAAGTTGCTAATCTTAAAGCCGTCGGTACAACTCTCACAAAAGCACCTAAAAAGAAAAGTTCTATCTTTGACATGCCTAAAAAGGATGCCTCTACTTCTTGCAATGATTTATGTTTAGACTCACCCTTTCGCAACCAAGTTTGTGTTGAGAAAGTTGTTGTAGATACATGCACACAAGAGGTTACAATGGAGAATGAGCAACTCAAGCAAGAAGTGGCTCACCTCACCAAGGACCCAACTTCATCAAGATAACACCGTCAAGGGAGTGGAAGCTTGATGAAGGACAAACCGTGGTTTGCTACGTATGCCACAAGGGAGGTCACAAGTCCTATGAGTGCAAGATAAAGAATGGGGGAGGAGCTAAGAAGAAAGAGAAAAATAAAAAGGAAACAAGCAAGCTCTCCAACACCTACACCAACAAGGTGGATAAAAAGGCCTCCACACCTTATGTCTTGAAGAAGAAGAAAAAAAACAACAAGGTGGTGGTCATCAAGGTGAACAAGCAAGTCAACAATGGGGCCAAACGCATTTGAGTGCCAAAGGAGATCATTTCTAACATGAAGAGCACCAAGAAGGTTTGGATTCCTAAAGAGAAGTGAGAAGTCCAATGGACTTTGGGGAATTTGGAGACTTGACAAAGTATGGGTGCATTTTATGGGATGCATCATTATGAACAAGGTAATTGCCAAGTGGGTTAGTGAATACTATGGACCTAAATTCCTCTTCCCATGTTAGGTAACTAGATTTAATTTCTTGCAATCTCAATTAACATGTAGTTTCTTTTCATGCCTAGGTTTGCTTTTACATGTTTAATCTTTTATCTTGCATACACTAGGTATATCTTATGGTAGGCTTGCTCGGTTTCCCTCTTAACCCTTAGAGCAAACCTACATGGTTTAAATTGTTTAGGAGCACGGCACATAGCTTGTTTTATAATTGTTCATCTAATATGTGCCAAAGTCCAAATTGTAGATAATTTCTCCCGAATATCACTTTCGAAAATGATTCTCACATTCATGTGATGTCATCTTTCAAGTGGTATTTTTGATTCTAAAATAAATGTGCATGTCTCATACAAGTATTCCATACTTGTGTGCACAAATTTAGGGGGGCTACTCTACAAGTTGGATGCTTTGAGACTAACACCTTTTTAAGCTTATCATGTGTGTAGTAGTCTCATTGCAAGGAAAATGGTGTCCCCGGAGTTAAGCTTCATACTTCAAATATCCACCACCCATTGCAAGTGGTATTAATCAAATTGGTTTCCACATGTGGTATTTCTAAACTGATATCATCATGTTGATTTCACTTTGGTATTTATATACTTTCTCCATGCATTATATAGATTAAACTCATTTGAGCATTAATTTGCCAATTATGCATAAACTTCATTCTCTATCATATGTATGCATATATTTAGGGGGAGCTTAGTCTATGTAATGTGAGAGTCAAATTTTGACCTATTCCACTCCACATACAAAGGATCACAAAGTTTGACCCTCCCTTGTGCTACTAATGTCTTCCTTTTCGGTGTTTGATTCCAAAGGGGGAGAATT